GGATTGCCTGAGGGACATTAAGGCATGGTTATCACATAACTTCTTACATATTAATGAAAGTAAGACAGAATGTGTTGTAATTGGTAACTCTGGTGTCACTGGTTCTGATATTCCTAGTTTTTTGGCCTCCTACCTGAGGCCTCATGTGAGAAATCTTGGCGCCATGAGCATATCACTCCAGTCCTTGCCTCTCTACATTGGCTTCCTGTTCGTTTTCGGATTGATTTTAAACTGTTGATGTTTGTCTATAAGGCTGTACATGGTCTGGCACCTTCATATATTTCCAGACGGAAACATTGGGGAGACCGAGCTTTTTCAGTTCGGGCCTCTATACTGTGGTATGGTCTGCCATGGGAGATTAGATCAGCTCCGAACTTGTCTGTTTTTAAATCACTTCTTAAAACGCATTTGTATTCACGGGCTTGCTTGCTAAAATGCAGGAAAAATGGGAGGCTGTTGCAATGTGGCTCAACAGGCATCTCCACTTTTACCTCCATGTGGCGGCTCACGAGTGTCCCAGATAAGAACGCGCCCGTCGTCAGATGAGCTGGCAAACACGTTGTCATTGACTGGGCTGACAGACAGGCTGTACACAGCATCAATGTGCAGGAACACGTTCAGAGTTTCCCTTCTGTAGAGGCAGCAATCATTCACATTTTAGTTATTTTGTTAGCGTAAACGTAAGTATATTAGCTGCATAAACATTTTAACTAATGGTCTGTTAAAAAGGGTTTTTATAATGGCTACAAGACATAAAATTTGTTACCAACCTCTCCACATCATGAAGAATCACCTGTTCATCATTTCCTATAAAACAGAAAACAGACACGTTCTGAAGTGCAGGTGTGTGTAGGACAAATGCGCTGTTCTAATCTGCAAAACTAGCTTGTTCTTCAGCTGTGTATTAGATAGCACAGTTAGTTAATTATTTATCAATGAATTACTACAGCTTTACAGCACTTACTCTCTAGACCCATTTGCATTCAATGCTCACCATGTGCCTCCAAAACACTGTATTTCAGCTCCAGCATTTAAGAAAATTTTAATCTTTAACAGGCATAATTTACACCCAGCACCACTCATGTGCAGTGATGTAACTACAAAATGTATGCAACCCCTCAGATGTAATAAAAAGTGCCACTTGAGCAGTGAATCTAATCAAATCTCATCTTTCTGCTCAGGTTAAAACTGATCTTGACTAGGTCCGCTCAGTCCTCTTTGCCCTCAGATGCATTCATTTTTATCATGAATTTCACTGCTCTGCACCTGTAGTGTATCTAATGTCACTGCTTTTATTGTTTATCTTCATCAGTCAGGTGCTTGCTAGTGTCTCCTCTACGTTAAGGTTTTTGCATCAAGTCTGATCTACCTTTAACCTACAAACATATAAGACAGACAATTCCATATTTCGAAGTCAAGAACTAAGAAGAGAAACTGGTCTTGTTGCAGAGATCAGATGGGTTTTCCTTGCTCTTACCACCAGAGAAGACCTTTTTGTTGGTGCTGTCAAAAGCCAAGCAGAAGATGTTGGACAGGTGCTCCCCCTTCAGTTTCACAGGCTTGGACCGGGCATGGATGGCTTTCTCCATGTGCCAAAGGAGGACCCGGCGGTCATCCCCCCCTGTAGACAGAAAACATGGACCGATACCACTAAACTCACAAAAGTACTCAGGGCATATAGACCATGAGAGAGGTTCCAAAACTCCTTTAAAGTGAAGTCTACTAGGTTCACTGATTCATTTCAACAATTCTTAGAACCATAAAGACAAACTCCACGGTACTTATTCACAACAAAAAGAAAAGATTCAAAGCTGCAACAAATAATCCATTAGTTGATCGACAGATATTTAATAAGCAACTATTCTGGCAACACAGCAAACCAAAACTGCTCTGATTCCAGCTTCTCCAGTGTGGTGACATGCTGGTTCCCTCAGTTTTATGTCACTGTAACATCATAATATTTTGAACTGCTGGTCAGAGTTAAGACATCCCCCTGGACTACGGGGGGAACAGATGTTTTTTACAGTTTCAAAGATTTTCATAGACACACATATGCAACAGCAAAATTTTAAATATGCACTGGCTGTTGTATTTGGTGCAACACCAGGAGGTCATTTTCATGCTCCACCAGAGTTAATGATCCATGAGCAAACTACATATTTTTTTGATTTTTGAAGTAAACACAACCCCTGCCTGCAACAACAGACATTAAAAACAAGTCTTCAGATGTTAATGCACAGTTAGTTTATATTTCATTAATTTAGGAAAAGATAAACAGTAACTGTAGCATGTGCAGCAGTTTGGCCACCCCACTAAGTCAGCACTTAAGGAACCCCTGTGGCAGATACGGCTTGTTGCTAATACTTTTAGGGGTTAGGGTCAACTAAGAGTCTGTCTGAAAATGATTTAGGAATTTTCATCCACTATTTCTTGTAGACCACCTCAAGTTCTGGGATAATTTTAGGTTGTCTTGCATACACAGCATAATTAAGATGTTCCCAGAATTTTTACTGATGTTCAGGTCAGGGGACTGTTGAGGGTCATCCCAAAATCTTCAGCTTTTGTTTCTTGAAGAAGTTCTTGGTGGATTTTTCATGTTTGCTTTGGATCATTGTCCTGTTGTACAAGCCAGACCCCTCGGTTTTAGCTGGACTGACTGCACACCATCTGCATCCAGAGTTAGCTGGCTTTCAGTGGAGTCAATTCTTCTCTTTATCTGCATGTTTATGTACAGCAGGCTACAACCACTTCCACAGCAGAATATTTTAGTTATATTTTTTTTGATGAAACAGTAATTTTCATGTCTGTTTGCTGCAGGCATTGAATGTACCTCTTTTTACCTCAAAAGTCAACAACTTAATGGAATTTGCTAAAACTTTTGCATACAAATACACAGTGGTGGAAAGTAACTAAGTACATTTACTCAAATATTTAAGTACAATTATGGTATCTGTACTGTATTTTCATTTTCTGCTGCCACACACTTTGACTTCAAAACATTTTAGAGGCAGATATTGGACTTTTGACGCCATTTATTTGAGAACCTTAGTTTCAGAATGAGATTCATTTAAAAAATATAGTATAATCAGAAACACTTCCTTGGTGGGAAATTTACAAACTACCCAGCAGTACTTCAACATCTAAGTATATAAGTTAGTTAAAATTGGTTCACCTTTACCAGCAACATTAAATGTGATGTACACAATGATGCATCAATAATTAAAATACAATAACATGATATACATTAAACTGAACTGTGCAATTCTGCATGAGTGCGTTGACGTTGGGTGCTTTAAGTATATTTTTGTGCTAATGCGTTGTACTTTAACTTAAATAACATTGTGAATACAGGATTTGTACAAATACTCAGTAAACCAAACTGGCAAGTCTGAGGCTGTCAAGCCAGGCCAGATGATTGTTAGTTTGTTTTTTATCCTTCTCTCATGACATAACTTTAATTTCAAGAGGACGCCATGGTTAGACTCATCACGGAGAAAAATGTCCACTTCAGTGGCCACAATGCTCATGTTGTGGCCTGACACATGGAGCTGGTCCGGGATCGTGCCCTCTGAGCTGTTGGCTATTTGGTTTGACATTTGCTAGCTAGCTAGCTAGCAAGAAAGGCTAGGCTATCTTAGATCCAGCTAGCGAAGAGGGTTTCAGCCGACTGACTGGCTAGCTAGAGTTAGCCAACGGCTAGGCTAACTTAACACCAGCTAGCCAGGAGGGTTTCAGCTGACTGCCTGACGTTAGCATGCTAACAAATTAAAACTGTGTGGGCTAGGGGGAAAGGCATTTGTCAACTTACCAGACACCAGCCATTCTCCGCCGTTGTTGGAGAACTCAATGGCATTGACACAGCCAAAATGCCCGAGCATATCCTTCTTGTAGAGGCGGGTGCAGCCGGCCAGCCTGCGTCTCTGGAATTCCTCCTTCATGAGCGGCTGTCCACTCAGCTCTCTGCGGGACAGAAAGCCCACAGAAGACCGCATACCGCAGCCCTTCAGCTCCTTCATTTTCACCATGCAAAAATAAAACGGCCCGCTCTGCTTTATTTTGTTTTCACCACTGCAGCCTGGACATCTGCGCGTGTTATTCAGTGGATGTAAGCACGGCTGTTCCTACTCTGTTTGGGCTACATTATGGTGGACACCCCGCTGTTTGCTGATGTCGACGTTGTGTTTTGTACCGCCTCTCAGTCCCAGCAGCAGCTTCCTGGGGGAGGATCTTTCTTTCTCTCTCTCTCTCTCTCTCTCTCTCTTCCCCGTGTCACCCAACATCACAACACTTGACTCCGCGTTTTTATTGAAATCCACAAGCTGAAGCATACCAAGACGTTTCTGCTACATATCTGAAGTTTAAACAAACCTCAACTCACCGCCATTTACTTTTAAAGGTTGAAATAAGCCTATAGTTCTACAGCATTTTTGTATTACCAGTTGTGAAAGAAGTCGTTACTCAAGAGTGTTTACTTAAAAAAGTTAAAATACCACAGTGAAAATTACTCCAGCATTCAAAATATTACTTTAGTAAACGTATACACACAGTGCACAGGGGATTGGGCAGCAGTC